AAGGAGAGGTCACTCCCCCTGGAGGATCCTGGGAGAACCATCTCCTGGCCCAGCCCCCCTTGGCCCCCACACACCCCGTCGGTCCTCCTCAGAGGCTGCAAGACCTTGTGCGCTGAGTGGAGAGGGAGGGACAGCGGCGGGGTTCAGGGTGGTCCCAGGGCTGAGGTCGCAGCCCCAAGACAGCTGGGTGTGTGTCTGGGGTCTGCCAGCGGGAGGCGCTGTGCTGGCCCAGGGGGCCCCGCGGAGGGGCGGGACAGGAGCACCTTCCCCGCCTGCTCTGCTAAGGCTCCCGCGGGCGGCTGGCGCTGGGAGCTGCCAGGGGCAGTTCTGCGTGCGGGAACCGCTGGCGGCAGACAAGGCAGCACGGAGCAGCCGGAATCCCGCGGCAACATTTTAGAAAGTGACACAAATTGGAACAATTCTCAGCGGCCTTCTGTGTTAGGTGGACGAGTACTAGGACTGAGATTTTTAGTAAATGTGAATGTTTGCTTGGACGTGGTAACTGCATGCACCTATGGACATGTGGTTTGGAGGGAAATCAGCCTTGACGTTGCACTTTTCAACAATGTCTTTAGTAATTCAATGATGTAAATTTAATATTCAATTTGAAGACTTAGCCTCACAAGTCTTCTAATTCTATAACTTGCTCTTGAAATGAAAATTCTTTAGCCCTGGCTGCTGTGGCTCAGTGGGTTGAGCACCAGCCTGAGAACCAAAGGGTCACCCGTTCGATTCCCAGTCAGGGCACATGCCTGGGTTGTGGGCCAGGTCCCCAGTGGGGGGGTGTGAGAGGCAACCACACGTTGATGTTTCTCTGTGTCTCTTTTTCCCCTCCCTTCCCCTCTCTAAAAATAAATATATAAAATCTTTTGAAAACTTCTTTGAAGCTCTAGAAATACAATGTCTTTATTTTTCTTTAAGATTCTATTCACTGCCCCAACGACCCTCAGCCCACAGACCCCTCACTGGGTGGGGGGAGTGGGGGGGCTTAACTCTCAGCAGGGGCCCAGGCCAGTTAGAGAGGCCGCAGCCTCCCCGCCAACACGTCTGCCTCAGTGACGAACAAGCAGCAGGTGCAGCATCTTCCGGAGGGCCCAGGGCCCCAGGGACCAGACGGGGCTTTCCCAGAATCTGAGGCTCAGCGAGGTTCAGTGCCCGCCTACAGGCACACAGCTGGGGGCTCCTCCGACCTGTGGCGGAAGCTCTCGTACGTTCCTCCCCCGGCCTCGCCTCCCTTCCCCCAGTCCCCTCCCTTCCTCCAGGCTCCCCTCCCCGCTCGCCTACTCTCCTTCCCGATGATGCCAGAGTTGCCGTTTGCAAGAATAATACACAAAACGTCCTCGCTCTCAGGGCCGCCCCACTGCCTCTCTCAGGTGAAAACGCTGGGGCTGGGCACTGCGCGCCGCCCCTCCGAGGGAGCCGAGCGCAACGCCCCCCGGCGGGCCCCGACGCAGAGCGGGATCCGGGTCGGTGCCTCCGGACAGTGTGGGCACAAGGGGCGTGGCTATGCGCTGGAGGGCGGGGGCGGGGCAGGGTAGCGAGTAAGTGCGCCAATCCCAAAGCCGGTAGGGGACTAGGTTCCCACCCACGCAGCAGTCCCGCCCATGGAACCCAGCTCAGGCATGTGCAGAGCTCAGGGAACCACCCTCCACTGCACGGGGCAGAGGACGGGTGGGCAGTCCGGGAACCTCTCCTGTTCTGTTCCAGCTGACCGGGACCGCCCCCACACCCACCGGACTTCCCAGCAGAGCCCGGTGCGCCCCGGCCCCACCGACAGCTGCGGGCCCCACGAGTACTGGTCCCCAGGCCACTGCTGCCTGCTCTGCCCCGCGGGTGAGTCCGGGACCGGTCTGCCTGGAGGGACCGCAGAGTCCACGTGTGTCGGGCCGTGGGGAGGGGCCCTCTCCTGACAGTAAGGAGGGGAGGCTGGTTAGCAGCACCCATGAGGTGGGACGTGGCCCCAGGGGACACCTTGTAGAGGGAAGCCCCGTCTGCCCTCAGAGAGGGTGGCAGGAACCCGCTGGCCCACTGAGGTGCCCCTGGGTCCTGAAGGGCACACCCGTCCCCTGTGGGTTGGAACTGGGTGGAGCTCCTCCCAGAGGCTGAGCCTGGGCCCTGGCTGGGAGGTGGAGCGCTGGGACCTGCTCCTGCTGACAAGAGGCACATACTTTGGTTCTCAGTGTCTGCTGGTTGGGGGCCGGGGTCCCTGTGCAGCCCACAGCACAGCTGCCAGAGGGTCGGGTGCAGGGCAGGGACAGGAGTCCGAGGTGGGATCCTGGGAGGTCTGTGCTTCCTCATGTCCAAGAAGGAGTGACGTCCAGAGGTGACTTTGATCCGAAGCTGCAGACAGAAGTGTTTCCCCTGTTCCCACTGGCGGGGCGGTTCCCCAGGACGGGGGTGGGCAGGCCGCACAGCAGGGACGCCCCTCGAGCCTGGAGGGGTCTGACCACAGCGCCCACCTCCTGCACAGGGGAGCATGTCCGTGAACCCTGCAGCCGCCCCCCACACCCGGGGACAGTGCGACAAGTGTGACCCAGGCACGTTCACCGAGTTCCCCAACGGCCTGGGGTCCAGCCTGCTGTGTGGCCCCTGCTCCCAGGGTGAGTCTCCCCGGGCACCTTGCCTGACCTTGACCTGCCAGCCCCTGACCCTGCCGTGGCCGGACCTTCACGTCGGGCCTCGGGACTTGGCCACAGGGACGCTCACGGTGCAGCCGAGAAACGTGAGGGGAAAGCGGGGCCTTCGGGTGAAGGAGGGATGTCCTGGTCCCGCAGTGCGGAGCTCACAGCCCCGCAGAGACGCGGCTGGAGACATCTGTCAGCTCCCATGTCAGTCCCCACGTAGTGTGACAGCAGGAAAGTGACAGGACCCAGAGAGCCACTCCGGTTCCACATTCTCAGCCCCGTGTCTATTCTCAGTCATCGTGTTCACACGGGAAGGTGCTCAGTCCGATGTGGGAAACTGGGAAATCCCACGCACACACACACGGAGAGGCAGCAGGGTCAGCGTCACCCCTCAGGCAGTCAGGGATGATGTACTGCGTGTCACCAGCCCCTTCCACCCTGGTGGGTGCCGTGGTCCGGCCGCAGCTGGGTCCAGGGATTCCTGAAAGGTGGGTGAGACATCAGCGATGGGAGACAGATGACAACACGACTCAGAGGACGGTGAAGCTCTGTTCCTTTTATTGCAAGTACAGGCAGGTTTTTATACTTTCATTTTTGGCAGTGATTGACATTTTCGGTTAGGCGAAGCAGGAAATTTTCTACCTGGATATCAGGTCACGCTAGTCTAGTGACCTCAGACATTTAAAACTAGCTGTATGTACAGAGTTTGAATGTCTTATTGTTTATTAAAGTTCTCAGAAAAAGGATACGCTAGATTGAGTAGAGGTTATAGGAAATTTATTATAAGGCCTTTGTGACATCTAAATTAGCTACTTATCTTTTCTGTCTAAAATGTTTCTCTATGCACCATGGACTCTGACTCCCTGGTAACTGTTTCTACGTGCTTAGTTTGGAATAGCTAACCAGCTTTGCTTATTTCTTTGCCTGTCTAATTCTACTTGATGTATATTCCTATTCAAGGTAAAGGAGGGGTTGTTACTCCAACAACTTTTAGACATTCAGGGGCTATTTCATTAGAGGGGATTTTGTTCTGTGGTCAAGAAATTATTTTGTACAACTTCATTGGAATTATGCGAATCAATAAACCTGAGATACAGGTGTCTGACAATCGCACCACCTTTTGCTCACCAAAACAAACATGTAAGGAGAGATAGACAGGACATCCAGCTACAGTAAACCTTTTGACCTAAAGGTGATAGACAGTTTTATTGGATTTTGTAGGGTACAGGCCATTCTTGACTTTCTCATGTCTTATTCTATTTTTGTTTGGATAATTCAGAGAGTGCTTTTTGGTAGCTCCTGCCTGATAGGGGGAAGTGTGGGCAAAATCGTCTGACAAGCTGGCGGAGTAGTGATCTTTTTTATTCCTTAGTTAATAAACACCGGGGAGGTCTGCTTCGAGCTAGCCTTTCCATGAAATTTAGACTATTATAAGGCACTTGGACTCCATCCTTACTGACCGTTCTAATGTCACCCTCATTATGTGCTCCTGTATAAGGCAATGGGCGATCTGGAACCGTCTGGAGACTATTAGCTCCTCTTGGGGGATGCCATAATTTGCCATTAATCCAACATGTTACCCAGGGGTATCCCTGGGCTGTGGGTAAGGGTCTCTATAATGTTTTCTTGTTTTCTAGAAAGACTCTTTGTATCTATGGGTAAGGAACAGGCGTGGGAAAGTCCGCCAATAATTCAACCTGTTGTAACTGATTCATGAATTCTTTTATGGGAACAATTGGGCATAGTTTCTTACTTAGGTTTATAAACTCCTTGTTTAAAACAATTTGGGCATGATTCAATAGTCAGGGGAGAACTAGTTGTCCCTTCAGAATTTCTCTCAAAGTTAATCGTTGACTCACTTCGAGCCTCTTTCTCCTCATGGCCTGTTCTTATGGGAATCAGGGTACAAAGTAAGACCATGATCAATATTAGCAAGGAAATTATTAAGAGCAATCCCCAGGAAAATTACCGCCCCCCTTTGTATGCCACGCTCTCTTCCAGGAAGATGGATTCCTTGAATGCCCTCTTTCCACGTTCAGACCTTGTCAGAAAACAAGGTTGGAGGAGGGCGTGGCAACCACCCAAAGACCCACCTGCATGGTCTGAAAATGACAAAACCCCTGGAGGGGTCAGAGGGGACGTCTCATGACGTTGGGTGGTGTTTGTGGCCCACATGACATGTGGTCACCTGGGGGGTATCTCTGTCTCAGTGCCTCACGGAGTTCCTGTCCCCTTGTGCGTCCACGGTCCTCTGATGACAGGGGTCCTCCTTCCCGTGGTGACGGGTTCCAGTGAGTGTCTGTGGGCACACTCGGCCACCAGGAAACATCCCTGTGTGCATCTCACTGAGGGGGTCGGTGTCTCCCCCTCGTGAGCGGTGCTGCGGTGGACGCGGGGTGCAGGTGCCCCGACCGAGGGTTTTCTCGTCCTTCACGAGCACTCGTGGGGTTGGTGTGTCTGGACTGGGTCCCGCGTCTGCTGGAAACTCTGTCGGCCTGTGACTTCACTGACACGTTTCCTGTTTCTCCCGAAGTCCGAGCGCAGACAGCGGTGGTTTTCTCGGGAGCTGTTTCATGTTCCCCCGGTTTGTCTGGGCATCATCATCATCATCATCATTGCCAACGTCAAGACGCCAAAAGTCTCGGAGGATTCCAGCCCGTGTGCCGCGGGCTCCCCAGCGGGGCGCGCTCCGAGTTGGAGCCCCAGGAGGAGAGGGAGTGACAGCCCGGGCTGGGGCCGCGCCCGGGGCGGGGCCTCTGCGGGGGTTTCCCCGGTTCTCCCCGCTGCGGCCCCTCCCCCACCCGGAGCCGCCCCGAAGGGAACGGCCCGGCAGCCCTCACGGTGCTTCTCTGCTGAGCCAGTCTCCTGGGCTCAGAGCCGATCGGCCCCTCGGCCGTCTGAACGGTGAGGCCTTTTCAGCGTTTCTTTTTCCCCGGCGTGGCTCCAGGTGGCTCATTGGGAGCCAGCGCGCTCGAGAGAGCAGCTCCAGCGGGAGAAAGACCGTAATTGCGTCGTGTCCTAGGGGCAGAGTCGTACTGAAGCCGCCCGCTAGTAGGCCGTCCGGGCTGGACTCCTCTGCCGTTCCCGCCGGCATTTCTCCAGCGGACGCGGGGCGCTGCCGATAAGTGAAACTACGACCCCGACCCCCGCGTCTACGGCTGCCCCGAGCGGCGCTCGCTCAGGTCTCTGCGCTCCCCTCCCCGGACTTTGCCGCTGCTCCTGGTCCGGGCGCGGTGCGGGTGGCGGCGCTCGGGGAAGAGCAGACCCCGACAGCGGGGCGGGTGTCGCCGGGGGCTGGACTACCTGGCGGGCTAGTGAGAGCACTGAGTGGGGCTGGGGCCGGGGTGGGGCCAGGGTGGGGCAGGAGGAATCCTGCCGAGCACCCCCCCGCCCCCTCCCCCGCGCACTGGGTCGGAGCGGCTCTTGTTGGGAATTCTCCCAGCTCAGGGGCGGCCCGATTCCACTCATGCAGGACTTCTCCACGGGAGAGGCGGGGGGGGGGGGTGGACACAAGGTGGCTTTCCGTGGTGCCCGGTTCCTAACACACCAGGACAGGGACCGCCCGCGGGCTGCGTGTCCTGGTGCAGGTCTGGCTGGCGAGGGGAACCTGAGGTGTCCACGGTTTTCTGGGGGGACTGGAGACTGTCCACGTTCTGCCCGGCCTCCCTGGAGCCTGGCGGGCGGAGCCCTGACTGTACAGAGAGGGTGAGGGAACCCAACACTATTCCCCTTCCGGACCAGACGCGGGTGGGGGTGGGTAGTACAGTGGCTGCAACCCCAGGGCGTGGGGGGCGGGGCTGCGGGTGGGAGGAGCGCTGGCTCCCAGCCCAGGGCCTGTGGGTGGGAGTGCAGGGGGGAGGAGCAGGGACCTGAAACTGGGGGTGTTGAGCGTGGCTACTAGTGTTGCCAAAACCAAAGCCACCCCTTCCGGGCATGGGCGGAGATTTAAGAAGCCAGTCTTATTTACTAAAAATCAACCCCGGTGGGACTGGGCAGACTCCTGGTGTCCGACCACCTGGGCTGGCCTGAGCCCTACACGGAAGCTATGGAGCGGCCCTCCCGGGAGGGGTGGGCGCAGGCTCCGGCGTGCACACTCAGCACCCCTCTTCCCGGAGCTGCAGAATGTCGGGGAGAGCCGAGGGTGAGTCAGGTCCCCAGCCCCTGGGACACATGGAGCCGGGAATCAGTCCAGAAGGGCCCAAGGAGGCAGGAGGGGAGGGTTGGTGCTGTGCTGCCAGCTGCCACCAGGTGCTGTGGCACCTCCTCAGGCAGAGGCCGCAGGGACCAGGGGAGGTCTGTGCCCTGGGCCCCACCATCATCTCTGTGCGCCCCCCTTCACAGGGTTCTTCATCAGCAGAGACGGGGACCTGGACCGTGTCACCGAGTGCAGCCCCTGCGAACCGGCTCCTTCACACCGCTCATCGCAACCGGGAGACCGCGTGCCTGCCGGGTGCCGAGTGCCAGGAGGGTGAGTGGGCCCAAAGAGGTGCGGGGGTCCTTTGGTTTCTACAGCCCGCCCTGCAACCACCTTGCTCCTAGGAATCACCCCAAGGGCAGGTGTCACAGGTGAAGAGGGTGACGGGGTGAGCAGGACGACTCTGCCAGGATGACACGAAATCTGTGGTGAAAGGATCCCCCTGAGGCCCCCGGGATGCAGAGCCGCTGTCGACAGAGGAACACACAGGGTTCACCACGCACCTCTGGGTGCCCCGCAGTCTGTGGAGGAGGCTCGGGTTCTGCCAGCTTCCCATCCAGTGCTCCCGCCACTGGGGCAGCGACCCAGCCCACAGTCCTCTGCACTGGGTGGGGGACTTAAATGTGAGCAGGGACCCAGGCCAGTTAGAAAGGCGGCAGCCTCCCCCCTGACGTGTCTGCCTCACTGAGGAATAAACCCCAAGAGATTTAAAATAAATATATTTCAGGATTCCTTATTGTCCTTCTGAGGAGAAGGCCATCAGCGTTTCAACAAGGACAGCCTGAGTCTGCGCTTGGCTTTGGGCAGCAAGGACGGTGTGACAGAGTTGCTCCTGCCGACCCTGAGCTCAGTGTGTCCCCCGTCGCGTGCCCCCTCTTCGTCTCCTTTCTCGGTTCCTCCAGCCGTCAGGGCGCAGGCTGTCCGCTCTCTGGCTGACCTTGTTCCCGGGTGGTTTCTGCTTTTGAACGCAACCGCAGGAGGGGCTGACACCCCTCCCTCTGGTTACCCGTCACTGCTGCACGGAAGTGCACCCGTGTCCACGTTGTGTCCTGCGACCTCACTGCCTTCATTTCCACGTTCTCACGGGAGTTCGTGGGTCCTCAAACGGTCCTACGTACCGCGTCCTGCCGTCTGTGAGCGGTGCGAAGGCTCCTCCTCCCTCAGATGTGCTTGCTGTTTGTCTCTGTCTCGCGTGGCTGCTGTTGCTCGGACTCCCAGTACTCGGGTGCGGGGAGGTGGTGAGTGTGGGCGTCTGTCTCCCTCCTGATCGGAGAGAGGGAGCTTTCGGCTTCTCAGTGTTGGGTGTTATGTCACAGTGTGTCTAGGGATTACCTTTTTTTAAAGATTTTATTTATTTTTAGAGAGAGTGGAAGGGAGGGAGAAAGAGAGGGAGAGAGACATCAGTATGTGGTTGCCTCTTGCACTCCTACACTGGGGACCTGTCCCACAACCCAGGCATGTGCCCTGACCAAGAATCGAACCGACAACACTTTGGTCCCAGACCCCACTCACTCCACTGAGCCACACCAGCCAGAGAGGAATTATGTGGGGTTTTTTTAAGATTTTATTTATTTATTTTTTAGAGAGGGAAGGGAGGGAGAAAGAGAGAGAGGGAGAAACATCAATGTGCGGTTGCTGGGGGCTGTGGCGTGCCACCCAGGCATGTGCCCTGACTGGGAACCGAACCTGCGATGCCTTGGTTCGCAGCCCACGCTCAATCCATTGAGCCATGCCAGCCAGGGGGAGGAATTATGTTTTTAATAACATGTTTTTGTTCATAATTATAACAAAATTGGATGCAATTTATACACTGTGCTCTTGTAGATTTTACTATAATGAACAGAATTAAATGTGAATTTTTGTATTAATGCCAGTTTCACTTTAAAAGCAATTCCTGCCTGCCAGTGTAATCTGTAGTACTATGGATAAAACTTTTTCAGGGTATTTGGTATACAAGGAGTGACCCAACCAAAAATGGAGGAAAACAAATGAACCAGCAATTTCCTTCTGGAGGGCAGGCCCTTGCAGTCCAGGCTTCCCCACTAACAGAGAAAGTTCCAGGAGCCCATCTTTATCAGTGACCGGCTGGCGTTGTTGTGAGAGGCTGCACTGGGCTTTATTGATTTTTTTTCCCACAACTCTTACACAGCACTGGCCCATTTCACGAGGGGTGATTTACCAGCCCACCTGCCCCTGCCCACACCTGCGGAATGTTCAGCAGTTTTTTACCACAAACCCACGTGGCCCATTCTCCCTACTCACCCAATCTCACCCAGAGCGACTGTTTTTCTTTCCTGCATGAAAAAGTCCACAAACAGAAACATCCCGACATGTAAGACGTGAAAGAAAACGGCAGAAGCTCTGAGAGGCGTCAGAGCCGCCGAGTGCAGAGAGTGTTCAGGGCGGTGGAGGGCCGCCCCCACGGGTGTCCCCCATCCGGGGGGAGCATGTGAGGGTGACCGAAGGGTAAGGGTGTGAGAATAAAAGCAGAATTTTTATGAGTAAATTCTCTTTCTGGGTCGCCCCTTGAGTACATGTGACCAAATGCATCCACAGGGGTTCACGTTCACGTGCAACACAGGATGTAATTCCCATTCTGAGTTATTTAAATTTCATTCCTTTATGCTTTATATTTTACATGGTCCGTGATAGGAATTAAAAGCAATAAATATCCTCCAAAATATGTGGAAATGTGTTCCCCACTCTCAAAATTTTTAAAGTTTAAATCATAGAGATATTTTTATTATTTTTATTTATTTTTTATTTATTTATTTTTATTTTAAGTACAGTTGTCTTTATTTTCCCTGAATCACTGCCCCCCAAATAGCCATCACCTAAAACAGGCAGATAATTTAAAGCACAGGGTGCAAAGACCCCCCTGGGACAGGCTGAGCAGGAGGGTGAGGGGGCCGGACATGCTGGCTGCTGTGCGGAGCGAGGCCTGCAGGGGGCAGCAGCGGGATGGAGACTCAGAGCAGAGGGGTCTGCCTTCCTCAGAGGGTGGTGCAGGGGGGCGGGCACCTGGCTGGGGCAGGGAAGTGTGGGCAAGTGGGGGGCTTCTGAGCAGGTTCCCACAGGAGAGCCCTGTGCTCCCTGCTGGCGAGGGATAAAGTACCTGCATTACCGCCCCACGTTTCATGGCTGATTTCCACGGTGGGATCCAAGGTGAAGAGACCCCCAGGGGACATTTGCAGAGGAGGCTCTGGGGTCACCAGTGATGGCGGTGGTGCCCGGGTCGGCCCTGGGCAGGCAGCCTCTCCACGTGGAACCCTACTCCTCCTTCCAGGTGGTCCCTGCTGCCCTCTCTGTGTGCACAGCAGGTCAGGATGGGGAGGTGCCTGGTGCCCCGTCTGCCTGCCCTCCCTGTGTGCCTCGCCGTGGTCCAGCTGCTCAGCCCCTGCTCAGGTAGGACCAGCTGTGCGTCTGTGTGTCTGCATCCTTTCCCTTCGGGCCCAGCCAGAACCCAGGACTCTGCCCACCCCTGCAAGGCCCATCCACCCCGCACCTGTGTGAGGACTGAGTTCCCGTCTAGCTGTCTGTCACCTCACCCTCCCTGCCTGGGTCACCCCCTGGCCCTATGACCCTGCTCCCTCTGACGGAGCCCCCACTTCTGATGACCAGCTGTGTTTGCTGTGGTCGGACCCCCCGAGCCCATCCTGGCCATGGTGGGTGAAGACGCAGACCTGCCCTGTCACCTGTCCCCGGAGATGAGCGCTGAGAACATGGACTTGACGTGGGTGCGACCCAGCCCCAGGCAGGTAGTGCACGTGTACGTGCATGGGCAGGAGGAAACGCCGGCAGAGGAGTATCGAGGGAGAACTTCGATTTTACGAGAGGACGTCACTGCGGGGAAGGCCGCTCTCCGGATTCACAACGTCAGAGCCTCAGACAACGGCACCTACCTGTGTTATTTCCAAGATGGAGACTTCTTCGAAAATGCCCAGGTGGAGCTGCAGGTGGCAGGTGAGCCTCAGGCTTGTTCCAGGCTCCTTTCCCTGGGCAGGGGCAGAGGCTGCAGACCTACCCCAGACACGTGGGCTGCTCACCAGCATGGGTGCCCCCCCACCTCCATCTCTGCTCCTCTGAGGTCCGTCACACACCCGGGGTCCCCCAGGGTGACTTCCGCCTGCACCCAGTACAGAGTCCCCCACGCCGCCCACCAGTCTCAGCAGGGGAGTGGAGGTCGGGGATGGGAGGAAGGGGACCTCCCCGCAGTGGGTGGTACACGGGTGTTTGAATTCAGTGTGTCCCACACTGTGGCCATGGTCCCCCAGGTGCCCACTGTGGTGGGTCCAGAAGGCGGAGCTGCAGGCACAACACCTGTGGGGCCCAGTTTCCCCGCTGACCCCCGGGAACACAGCTGCAGTTGAACAGGTTGTGTCCGTCCTCGGTTCAGCAGGGAGGGACACTCCCCTGGGGACGGGGACACCGGGGTGACTCAGAGAGGGGTCGTCAGGGACTTGGTGCGGTTCGGGGGGATGTGGAAGAAGCTCTGAGCTCTGGTGGGACCCAGTCAGGATGGTGCGGGTGTCACTGGTCACTCACAGCCGGCACAGGGAGATGGGTCACTGCACACGATTCCTGTTTCCTCTGTGCTGTCACCCCACCCTTGAGTGGCCTTGATGTGGCCCTGACCCACCCCAGTGAGGGAACACCTTGTCTGAGGTGCTGCCCCACGAAAGTGCTCGTTTTTGCACGTCAGAGCTGCAGTTCGAGTTCCCCGGACACAGCCCTGCCCTGTGGCTTCCAGTGCGGGGGGGCTGGTGGAGCGGGGACGGTGCGGGCCCCTGGCCTTGTCCCCGCACAGCCGCCTCCTCAGCCTGCTGTCCCGTCCTGCAGACCTGAGGTCCCCGGACTGAGCTCCCCCTGCAGGACTCTGTGTCTTCAGGTCCTCAGAGGGCTTCCTCCCCCTCTGTGTGTTCAGGGGCCTGGGGACAAGTGGCACTAACTTCCCGCTTCCTGGCCCTTTGTCCGCGGTCTTCCGTGGGAACATTTTCCCCTCTGCACAGCCTCGCTGTGGGCACTTCCGGGGAGACCCTGCAGGGAGAGCCCGAGCAGCCTGGCAGTGAGGGCAGCAGCAGCCTCCCGAGGGGCCGTGCATAGAGTCACCGCTCAGGTGGCCGCTGTATATCATGTGTCTCCTCCTCACGGGACAGCACGGCCCCCACAGGACAGGCAGAACAGACAGGGGCAGTGGCATGGGACCCACTTAGGCTAAGGGGCACCACCTGCATGGAGAGGTGAGGAGCTCTGCCAGGGCCCAACCTGTCTGGGGCAGGGGGGAGGGGAGGCTGCGGCAGTCTCTAAGGGGACTTGGGGGAAGCAGCCTCTGCTCTGGCCCAGAGCCCCCTGCATCCAGCACGAGGGTCCAGCCAGGGTCAGGCAGTGGCCCCATCGGGGATCAGTCTCTGCTGCACAGCACACGCTGGGAGCAGCTCCTGGTGAGTCCCTGCTGGGCTCATCAGTGTGGGCGCCCCTCCCTGCTGTGGAGACCCCCACCATTGTAGAGGGCTCCCCACGATTCAGCTCGCTTCTCCTCCCCAGCGCTGGGCTCTGATCCCCACATGGACATGAAGGGCTACGAGGCTGGAGGGATCCGTGTGAACTGCACGTCTGCCGGCTGGTACCCGCAGCCCCAGATCCAGTGGAGAGATGTCAGGGGACAGAGCTTGCCCTCGCAGACAGCATCTGCAGCTGCAGACCCCCAGGGCCTTTATGCAGCCTCAGCCTCTGTGATCCTGGAAGGCGGCTCTGGGGAGGGGGTCTCCTGTGTCATCAGAAACCCGCTGCTGGGCCAGGAGAGGTCAGCCAGGCTTTCCATAGCAGGTGAGTGCCCTGCCCCCTGCCCAGGCCTCTGAGGTGCCCCTGGGGGAAGGCTGCTGACGTGGGGCCTCTTGCCGGAAGCGGTTTATGCACAGACACCTTCTGAGCACTTCCTGCCACACAGGGAGCCAGGCAGTGGGACGTGGGGGCAGATGGCAAACTTCAGCAAACACACCAGGAGGGGAAATAGGTACACCCCAAATCTCAGTGAAAGGGGTAATCTCCTTACAACATAAAGGAACATGGTGGATAAAAGAGCAAAACAGGGAATCATCAGTTTCTGGGAAGGTAAAACTCCCAGGAAGATGCCAAATCTGACGGATCAGGGAACTATTTCCCCCTGTGAATTTGGCAGCAGCAGGACAAACGAGGCGGTGGGCTCCCTCTGGTGGCGGGCTGTGGGGAGACAGCCCCGTAGCCGTCTGTGCTCCCGGTGTTGGATGGTGTTGCTGGGGGTCGGCCCCGTGCTGTGGGGGCGCAGGGCCGTCTGCACCCAAACTGCGCACTGACTGATGCAAAACCCACTTCTGGGGACCACCCCACGGGCCAGCCTGCAGCGGTGGGACGTGACCCCTGTGACCAGGTATTTTTAAACCAGTGATCCCGGGACAAAGGGCAGAGCCTGGGGGTGCCCACCAGAGGGGACCCTGTGTGCCTTAGGGGGTGCCCTGGGGGAAGAGACTCGGGCCTGCGGGCTGTGCTGGAGCGGGCTGGTTGCCGAGATACAGGGCGACACCTACGGCATACACAGCAGCTGCGTAGGGGCCTGATTTCACTGTAAACAAGATGAAATAAAATACTTATTTTTGATAACTGAATGAAACCTGTGTGGCACTCACCCTGCATCAGGCACTGCATAAGCACTAACTGAATGCTCTCACTGATCAGGACGCAGCAACAGACGGTTACGTCATTAGTTGAAGGTCACAGCGCTGATCGGGCAGGAGACCAGGGACTGGCACCTAGGTCCCCAGCCCCAGAGTCTGTTCTTCGTCACCAGACTCCGCTGACTGAGGGGGGCTGGTAGTCAGTGGGGAGCTGGGTGCAGAGGGGACGTCAGTGACACTGTGTGTGCGTCCTCGTGCTCCCTCTCATCCCATGGGGGTGGAGACGTTTCAGGAAAACCGTCCTGACTGTGTGGCAGTGAGAGTCTGGGCGCTCTGGGGACAGAAAGATCCCTTCAGGGGCTGACGCTACCCCTTCGCAGGTGCCTTCTTCAGGGACACACAGCCTTGGAAGGTGGCCTTCATCGTGACCCTGCTGCTGCTCCTTGCGGGGCTCCTGTTCAGTGTGTGGCACTTGCTGTGGCGACGGCGGAAGAGGATCCGGGCCCAGTGCAGGAAGAAGGAGAGAGCTCAAGCTGAGAAAAAGGCGGCCCTGAGAAATGGCGGCCCTCTGTGCGATGCGGCTGCGGGAGAGTCTGGAGAATGTTACCAAGGAGCTGGTGTGGACGGTGTCTTAGGTCGTGAGGACGCAGAGCCCCGAACTGAAGTCAGCTCTTCCCGCAGCGACTGAGACTTAGCAGCATCCTAGGTGCTGACCTTCCCCAGGTCCCTTCCCGTGGGCGCCTTCACAGGTCCCAGGTGGGACGGAGCCCCTTCCGTGTCCAAGGAGCTTCTTCGGGAAGCTTCTGATGGGGAGGACCATGCAAGGTGGGGTACCCTCTGCCTGCATCCCATGTGCCCTATAGGCTGCCCCTGAGGGGACTCCGGGCGCCCTGAGCTGCTCAGGAGGGACCCACTGGCTGTGCTCGGTGGGCCCCCGAGCCGTGGCCTCCTCCAGAAACACAGGCCAGGAGGGCGGGCTGGACACGTGTGTGACCCCAGCAGCTCCCTCCTTGGTTTCCCAGGCACTGCGATGTCCCCTGGCTTCCACTTGGGAGCGCCATAGCTGGGTGACACTTAAGTCAGTCTATGACAGACAAACCAGTGGTCACTCAGCTGTCACTAGGTTAGCTGGGGCGGACATGGGGACAGTCACATGCCAGCTATGGAGGCCTTTGTACTGTTCTTTAGACACTTTAGCATATGTGCTTTTCCAGTTTTATTTATGTGTTAAAATTTCTCTTCCATAGTGTGTTCACATGTTTGTAGAAACTTTTTTACCCAGTAAAATTTATATTCTAAATGGTGTTGCCTCTCATTCCTGTTGGGTGGGCAACTTCGGGTGTGCTGTCCTGGAAGGGGACGTGGTGCACAGAGAGTCAGGGGAGCCGAGGGTGTGGTTTGTGGGTGCAGGGCCCCGAATCGGGGACCAACGGCCGGAGTGGCCTCTTGTCCGGGTTGTGGTGTCCCCGGGGCCTCTGTCCCTGGGAATGACAGCACCGTCCGTCCAGCGCTCCCCCTGAGAACGCGCCCTGCCCTGCCCCTCTCCTCACTCGCCCCGAGCAGCACCCATCCTTGGAGGTGCTCACCCGGGGCCCCGCACTCCCGTGGGGCGCCGACTACCTTCAGCTCCCACGCACTCTCTCGGCGAAGTCCACGCCACTCCAGCCAGCCTGTCCCATCCAGACCCTTGGGCGTCATCCCCATAGGCATCTCCTCCCGAGTCCCCCCCACCCCAGGGTGTGAGGGTCCCCCTGTCCCCTCCCAGACCAGTGTGCCGGCCCCCCTAGGCCCCGCCTCCCTCCACGCTGCTGCCCGTCACTGACTCAGCTTCTGTCCACTCTGGCTCCCCTCCGGCCTCCCCGAGTCCAGGCTCCTCCACTGCAGCTGGACTGGGGGTGGGAGCACAGATCTGGCCTCCACCCTCCCCGCCACCCACCCTTACCCCACCCTGGGGAGGGTCTCTGCCATTCCTGATTCGTTTAGGGGAACTGGCAGCCCCAGCCCGCACCTCAAATCCCAAACTCTTGCTGGCGTTGCTGCGTGGGTCCCGTGGTCACGCTGAGTTTGTCAGCATCTTGCCTTCTCCTGGGGTCACTCGCAGGACAGTCCACTCGGCCTGGAACGCACGCCCCGTCCACCCCCAGTCCCTTCCTCTCAGCCTGCTTGGAACTGGTCTTCTGTCGGGGCCAGCCCATTGCAGCCCCGGGGCGGATCTCTGACCGTCTGGCTGGGGGTTGTCCCCACACCACGGGGGTCATGCTGACTTCAACACCCATGCACGAGATGACCTGTCCCTGAGGCCTGCGTCTCCTC